TTCCGGGGTCTCTTCTTTTCTTCTTCACCTAATTCCACGGACCTTCTACAACTTGACCAGGGGCAGCGTCGAATGTCGGAACTCGAGGTGGTACGAATTCTTCCCTCTTATTTTCATCGAAATCACCCTCGTTCTCGCCTAAAAATACTCTAACTTTTTTCTTCCACTTTTCATTAGCTTTTTCCAAATCCTTTTCTACTATTATTCCGCTTCAATCAAACCTACCAGGATCGAATTGTTCTTTCGAATCGCCGTCTTCCGCATGTTTCCAACACCATTCCCATACTTCATTTTTTCGGCTCCGGCTCCATTTTCGTAGCGATCTCCAACCAGGTACATTGCATTCGCATCACCTGACTCGCCAGATCTTTGATGATAGGTGAAGGCTTTATTTTCAATCTTTTTAACTCCACCTTCATTTCGGTAATATTCACCGATATTCGTCGTATCTTCTTCGGCCTCGGCAGGTTCATTTTCGGTAGGTTCTATTGCTCCTCTACTCCATCTGACCCTACTTCTAAATCCTTCAACTTTCTTTATCCATGATTCGCAGGTGTAATCCAGGTCTTTACTTTTTTTGGTAAGTTCTTCTACGTCTTCTTTCTTTTCATCGTCTTCTTCGTCTACGATCGTCTCATCGTCGTCATCGTTATCTTCTTCATCTTTGTCAGCTTCGTTGTCGTCGTCTTCATCTTCGGTTCACCTACGATTTTTCCGATTCTCGCGAGTACATTTTCCTTATACTTTTCTTTTTTTTCTTCTTTAGTTTCTTCCTTTTCTTCTCTTTTAACTTCAACTTCTTTTTCTTCGTCCTTTTCAACTCCAGCCTCTTCCTTTTCGACTTCGATTTCTTTCTTTTCTTTAACCTCCTTAACTTCAACTTCTTCGCAGTAAGGTCCAACTGGGTATGTTTCTTCAGTGCCTCCTATTCTGGCAACCTTTATACGATCGTCGGGTAAGTAGTTATTTTTTTCTTCAGCTTCTTTCTTTGTCACCTTAACGTCACTAACTTTCTTTTTCTCAACTTCTATTTTTTTGCCTTTTTCTTTTTCATGGGCCCATTTTTGTGCGACAGCTTCACATTCGGTGACGAGCTTTTGAAGAAGAACTTCCAATTCAGTTTCTTGTTCTTCTTCCTTAGAGCCGAAGGCAATACTTTCAAGGGGTTCTTCTGTGGATTCGTCATAGTAGGCGTCGAATACTTCAGTTATGGTAGGTCTTGGTTGTTGAGACTTCGGGAGAACTTTCAGGACAGGGACTACAGAAGGTACTAGAGGTGGATTCAATTGGATATATGAGGGCAGGTGCACAATATTATCTTCTCCTTCGTCATCACCATTGGGGTTGTTATCCTGGCTAACATCTGTTAATATTTTAAAAAAATATTCTAGGGCTTGTGGGTCATAAAGACTATGGT